TTGACAGTGGATATTTTTATGACTGAATTTGTTGCACAGGACATTCTATCACAGTTCCACACTAGAATGCACTGAGCTCCTGAGAGTGACCCGTTCTTTCACAAATGTTTCTAAAAAAAACAGTCTGCATGCATAGGGGCTTGATTTTAAACACCTGTGCCCATGGCAGTAATTGGAACACCTGATTCCAATCATGTGGATACATAAGCAAATGCCTTTGACAATATAGTGTGTTTTATAAAGTGATTTTCTATCAATACATATGTCTTTGGCTGGACATGACATTATTACTATTATATAATTCAATATAGATTTAGTTGTGACAAAAATGCAAAAACCAAAGATATCAATATGGGAGGGCAATCCTTGTCTGTGGCACTTTAAGCTTTCTTCTAATAAGTTACTTCCCCAGTTTATAAGCTATTGTTTAGTGCATATTGTGTTGAAGCACAAAAAGAGATATTTTTTGTGCCTTCTATATTTCATAAGTCTGTTCAGTTCTAAATAACTTTTTTTTTTTCTATTTGCAAAGTTTATAAACAGCCAATGTTGCCACTGTGGCATGGAGCTTCAGAACTGCCTGATGCAAGCAAGTGGTTTACGCTATTGCTGAGATTTGTTAAGTATGTCTGGTTTTCTCGGCCGAACACCGTCTTTCTAGTTATGAAGTAATTATGGAGGAGACTGTCAGCTGTATCACTTCTTATCTTCGAGGCTCATCAGCCTGCTTTAAATCCACCAACAGCAGAGTAAACTTTAGATGCTTGAAACAAGGTCTCATCGAGAATGGTTCCTGTGCTTCTCCACATCTTGTGGTTATTTAGAAGCTATCCCTATGGACTCACGATCAGATAATGAGGCGAAATGAGACAGCTGGGATCTTGCACCAGTGTAACATTGCGTATTAACATGAATCTTGAGAAAACAGTGTCAAAGTTAACAGCACTTTCTGGTAAATATATTCCACGGATGTGAACATTTTGTGTTTAAGTTGTTTTCTAAATGCTAAAATTAGCTGAAACATTGGCACCCAACAGAATTAGGTCTTAGAAATGCCTCACTTCTCAACAAACTCACTCTGAAGTACAATCATTCCACAAGGGAATTATTACTGGTGGCAACTTCACAGAACTTCAAAAAATATGAAATACCCCCCTCATTTAGACCAGTTTGGAGTTCTGATCTCCCTGACCTGCTTCACAGCTGGTACAAAGAGACCAGTAACATGTGCATAAGAGCTTTAACACTTGTAAGTCAGCTTTGAGAGCTGCTTTTGTTACTTTGTCCTACTGTGTGCGTTATGCCTCTCAGAGAAGAGGTCAGAGAACCTTAACAGCAATGCACATGTAGCAATTACTAAGGAGGTGTTGAGAACAGTAGCTTATTTAAATTAGGGTTTTTTTTCTCCTCTTTTTTGCCATGCTTCTCCTGCGACAAAAAGAAACAGCAGAGCGTTCTCTTCCCCTCTCTCTTTCTGTCTCTCATTCTGTGCTTGGTAGTTTGACGCCCGCTTCGGGGCTCAACATCAGAGGAGCGGCTGCTGAAAAAAACAGGTTGTATGGGTCCTTGCACACAGCCTGCCTGTGGTGCTGCCTGAAGGACTGCCATGGAAACAAGGAGTCTGACAGGCTCCAGGGGGATCCGCCACAGCTGCAGGCACTTCCTTTTTGACAGCCTGATGAAGACATCACTGCCACACCATGCACAACAACAACAACTACTGGAAAAAAAATATGATCAAACAATGTTAACTGCTGTGTGGCTGAAATGTTCATTAGCGGGCTTGTAAAACATCTAGGGATTTCCCCCCCACCACATTTGGGGACCATATTGCACAGTGACTTCCTCTAGTGAGATTTCTAAGTGACTGTCCCAGGAGAAAATAAACTGATAAATAATTCCCTAAATATGATTCTACCACTCTGAAAAGGGGCTTATACTGTATGTGTTTGTGAATGTATGCGTGTAAGCAAAAAAAGTGTGCACTGGTGCGTGAAAAGTCAAATCAACAATTGTTGAAGCCCTTCAGAGTCTCGTCTATATTCCACTGAATATGAATGATACAGGAAACGTCCAAGAGCATCACCTCTGTGTCACAGATTGAGAGATGTGACAGCTTGGAGGGTGGTAAATGTAGTCCCAGGGGAACTCCTATATTGTCATTCACACTACTGGCTTCAATAATACCTCTATATATTATCATATACCATCAATATTTCATTAAAAACTACAATGACCAACTAAACACATTCAGATTAAAAAATGGAGAAATACTCAGAGCAACATTTGAAAACTTTTATGTTTTTTTTGTAAATTAACACACAAAAATTTCTTATCTTACCACTAATTAATTCACACCTTTCATAAGTCTGTATCAACAAACATACTGCAAAAGACTCTTGACCAGTTTCATTTTCCATATCAGAATCAGAATTACTTTATCAATCCCTTGCAGGAAATTCTTTTTTTGCATTGCAACCATTTACAGGAGAGAGAAAAAGTAAGATTGTAAATGAAAATAAGATTTAAGAATAAAATAAGGTTATATTGGTGTCTTGGTAGATATCTTGATGATAGGGATAGCATTACATCTATTTGGTAAAGCTATTGCTTCTGTTTCAATTTAAAAGTCTCAAAATTCTATCCCAGCTCACACTGAGCCTGGTTCTGCTGGAGGTTTCTTCCTGTTAAAAGGGAGTTTTTCCTCTTCACTGTCGCTACAAGCATGCTTAGTGTGAGGGATTGTATTTGAGTCAATGAGTCGATGCAATCAACTGGTTTTCCTTAGATAGAAAACTTTGTATTAATTTGACTGTATGATCTGGTTGAACTGTAAAAAGTGCCTTGAGATGACATGTGTTGTGAATTTGGCGTTATATAATAAACTGAATTGAATTGAAAATTGGGAGTTTTGCAGCATGGCTTTTTGACTTTGTATATGACAATAGCTAAATGAACAATCTTGCATACCCTCAGAGTAATCAGGGAATATCTAGTTTTTAATATTCTAAGTAGCTTACAGTATGTTCATGGAATCCACTCTACGTTTACTCCCCATTCCAATTGTCACAAAGAACATTCTACAATTCATATATGACTGAGGATTCCGTGATTACTCTGAGGACACCAGAATATATTTTTGCTTTTAGTTATGCAGATGATCAAACAAATCAATCAAACCAGGACAACCTACGCAAAAGGTGTCTTTAAGCGATGATTGAATTTAGTTGGGGAAAATACCTATTCAAGGAACACGGCTCTAGTAAAATTCCCCCCTGTACCTAATGACTTGTTTCACCTCCGGGGGGGAAAAAAACTGAGAAAAAGATCCAACAAGCCTTTTCAAATACTGGCAATGAGTGAGGCCTGCCAATTACATACAGTAGGGGAAGTGTTAAGAATAAACTAATAAACCAAAATAACACAGATGACAAGAGCTGTAACAGCAGTTCATTATTTAAACGAGCAAGTAGTTACTTTAGAACGGTTTTAATTAACGGCCATTTTGGCCTCTTGTTGCATATAAATGTCCTGTCCAACACTTTTATAATCAGAACATTCAGTCCCAAAGCACATCAACAATAAAAGGAAATAACACATAAACCTTACCTTTACCATGAAAAAGAATTTAGACAGTATATCAACTTTACTCACAACTGGAAAAGCACGAGAATATGAAATCTGTAAGAGTTCAAATCTTTTTTTTCTTTGTTTGACATTAAACAGGCTTTGCAACTTATTCAAGGCAATAAATGATAGTTAATAAAGTAGTTTAGTTATCAGGTTTTTTTTTTTTATGTACATATATTCATTCATATTCATTTTTTATATTCTAACGGCTGTACTTAGAATTGGAGAGCTTGATGTTGTAGTTGTTTGTTGAAATGTCAGTTAAAAATACCCAGGGAGTCTTGCTTAATTGGTTTTACCTCTTGGGAACACCTCGTTGCATCCTGTGAGTGCTTGTACTGTTGTATTCACCTCCTCCTTTTTTTTCTGCACGCCAAAACAAGCCACTCCCCCACAGCCTCAAAGGAGCCAAGAATGTTGGAGGTTTTCAGCCAGTGTGTGAGTGTAGTGTGTGTTGGATTGGGGGGTTAGCTTCTCAGAAGCTCAGGGTCACCTCCACACCCTCTCACTTTGAAACGGACCCCTGGTGGCAGCTCCTGGGAGATCCCAGTGATGTCTCTATCAGCCTGTCAAAAAAGATAGCCCGGGGCTTCACTAGGTCCCCTTGAGCCAATCAAACCCCTCACAAAGCACAGATGGATGCTCTTTCACCAGCATGCCGCTCTTGAGGAGGGGTCACCCAGCCATGCTGCTCAGTCCCCCAATCAGAGCTCCCATTGCAGGGGCCCATTCCTAAGCTCAACTTCAATTATGGCCGAGTAAATTTTGAGTGCATTTGTTTTCACCAACTGTGCTGCAAGCAAACCTGGTTAAATTGGCTCCAATCGTTGAATGTGAGAACAATTTAATTTTGGTCCGACTGTTCTCCAAAAACGGAAATGTCATGATGTGTCTGAATATTTTCAAATGTGTGCTAAAGAGCAAGTAAGCACTGACAGACTAACAGGCTGCATCCGTCACACACTGGAAAACCATTGCGGGAAGACTGATGGAAAAAAACGAGCAAATCTGTGTGTATGTGTAACCATTAGACCAAGCCAGGTGATTTTAGTGGAAATATAAAGCACTAAGTGCTGAGGATGGAGAGAGAGTACTCTGTGAGATGAGCTCTTTCTCTCTCATCTGGACCCTGTTATTGTGAGAAGGCAACAAAGCGATGCATTAGGAAGCACACTGGAGCCACACGGCTTTGATGTAAGCTCGGTAACCAAGGCACAGCGGTGGTCGGCGTGTGAGCTCAATTTCAATAGATGTGTTGTGTAATCAGATGTGTTTACCGTGTATTCACGTAAAGAAGTGGCGTAATCCATCCTCGCTGGGATAGCGCTATGGGGGGGGGGACATAAAAAGAAAAACTCAATTTGATCAAGATTCTTTATTCAAACTCTCCATTTTACGATGCATACATGATACTTTCAAATAAATTGAACATAAAACAAAAACTCAAGTGCAGGTAGCTAGAATTAACACATGTTTACAATATAAATACTTGTTTATTCATAAGACAGAGTAAGAAAAGCAGCAGCATTAACATTTACACGGAAAACCATACCACAGATTATATATAAGTTGCAGTACACTTTAATAAAACTGATTTCATGTGATCTTATGATAAACAGCTCACTACATTGAAGAATAAAAACACAATGTTGCCTCTTTGAGTTGTTATTGGCTTTACCCTGAGACAAATTTCTTAGCCACACCAAATTAATTAGAAAAAATTTTCTTAGGTAGGTCAAACCTGATGTCTTCACTTCCTTTTTAAAAAATTTTTTTCTCAAAGATGAGGCTTGAGCCTTGTAGAGCTCCGTTTTTTTTTTTTTTTTTTTTTTTTTTTTTACCTCCCAGCTTGTGATTGACAGCAGCATGTGCTGCCCTCCTAGCTGCTTCAGTTCACAGCCCCTGTCAGGGGGGGGTGGCAAACACACAAGGCACGGAGCGGCTGGCTGCCCCTCAGCAGCAGGAGGCAGCGTCGGGGTGGTGCGGCTGGGTATGTGAGGTCACAGGTTCAGTTGGTTCTGGAGCATTGTTGTCAGGTGGATTGCAAAGTAACGCAAAAAACAAAAAGAAACGGGAAAAAAAAAAAGAGGAGAAGACAGAAAGGAAGACCAGCCTTTCATCCAGCATTTCTACTGTGCTTACTTCTTCTTTTTTGGCTGGTTCTGTCCAGTGGGTGCTCTCAGCACACTGTACTGCACCTGTAAAAACAAACAGGAGTTTGGTCAGAAGCAGGTAATCGGAGCTCAGTGGAGCGCACAGTAATGGCTCCCCTGAGGAGAGCTGGTGCAGAGCAAAGCGAGGCGGCCTTGCCTGTAATGAATCATTTTTTAAACACAGGAGCAGAGGGGATTAATCACAGGGAGGAAGGATTTGAGAAGTCAAGGGTTCTCTGCAAGTGTACCCCTCCCTTCATTCTGCACCAGAATCAGATTATTAGAAACAGACATCAACTTTTTAGATGACCTGCCAGGCCAGTAAAGAAAGGGTAAACTGCGTAATCACTCTTGGTTGGATATGTCTATGAAAGAAAACTTAATTCAACTTTAATGCTTGCAGTTGAATCAGGAGAAAAGCTGCCTCCAGTCTACATCTATGGTGCAGTACTGGTACAATAATTAAGACTATTGTGCACACAGCAGTATGCACTACCAAGTGGCCACCACTAGGAAACAAGAAAGAAAGAACTGACCTATGTCACCTTTGGAGAGGCTGGTGACCAGCATGACACTTGAACAAAACTTCTGCTGTTGTCTATTAGTACAGAAAGGCTGCTGTTAGCATTGGATAGCGTTCCTCGACAAGTCATCCATTATAATAAATGCATGAGGCTGAAGTTGACCTCCAACTGCAGCTTACTTTGTTGTTCTAGACTAATAGGAGAAATTAAACTTAGTTTTTCATTCATCAAACCTTTATCTAACTTGTGAAATGCTTTTTAATTTTTACTTTTTCCTTATCAAAAGAGCATCAGAATCAGCAGTCATTCCATTTAACTTATTTTGAGTTTTCTTTAAGTCACTATCTTTAAGTGTCAATAATGACAATAATAGCACTGTAGTTTTTTAGGTAGACCAGTTCTGATGTGGACCAAATGCACAAGTAAATATTAAATTTATATTTGATTGCATTTTCACAAATGACATAAAAGGTTTAACAAATCCCAAACTGCATTTATTATATTCTCCCATTACTCTAAAATCCAGGTTTGAAGAGTCTAAGTGTTTTGTTTTTAAAGTAGGGCAGATAAAATTTCTAAGGTAGTTAGAAAAAGGGTTGATTAGCCCTTTAGGCGTTTCCCGATTTTGAAGCTGCAATCATGAGTCAGCTTTAGCTTTATGCGTCTATTATAGTGAATGACCAGCCGAGGTATGGTGTCCATTGCTGACACCAGCTTATCTGTTCAAATAGACAACAGAGGAAGTCGACTATGCCATGATTCACCAGCCTAGGTATGCTGGGCAGCAGCCTCTCCAAAGCTAACAGAGGTGGATTCTCTCCTTCTCAGTTACTAGCTTCGGTTTCTCATTTCCCAGCGCTAGCCTCTCGTTTAACGGTGCCTATGGTTAGGTTCATGGGTATTAAATAGGGGTAAATATGAGCTAAATTAAAATACTGGCATGAAGCTGTAAACAAGACTGTTTTTTTTTTTACGTAACCACTTTATGTCAGATAATATTGATTTATGTTTTAACTTATTTTTATGTTAAGTTGTTTAAAACAGACTAATTGTTTTGGGGAAAAAAATTATTATCCAGTAAGATAAAAAACTTTTTTATTTTTCTCCTTTTTTCTAACTTTTTGCCTGGATTAAACTAAACTTTTGTGGCCATTAAAGTAATTAAGAATTTAGTGACCATAGTAACGGAAGTATGACAGGAAATGGGTGAACTGCAAAAGAGGAGGCAAAACATCTAGCAATAGTCTGATGAACCCCAGATGACCCCAATCTTTGACCAAGCTGTTCCAAAGCTTTTTTGTGATTTTCATATGCCATTTTGGGGTGCCCTGCTTGGGATCATTGTCCTACTGCATAATCATAAGTAAACTAGAGTCATGATTTTATAATCAGGCATTCTTCTTTATGCTACACAAAAAGGTCTAGAAAGTTGGTTGTACTCCAGATATGACTACATGACACGTAAACTTTCAGAGCAATAAACATTTGTTTTCTGTTAAAGAATAATTTCCCCAACGATCTTCTATTTGAAATGTAAGCAGAACTTTATATTCACTTTGGTCAGCAGTGATTTTAGCCTTTGAACTTTCCCATAGATATCAATCTTGCCCTTGGTTGTAACTGAACCAAATATGTGGTTATTGTCACAGTTATTTTAGGATCTTTACAAAGGTAAAAAAAAAAAAAAAAAAAAAAAAAAAAAAAAACATATATTCACATACTATATGGCCAGTTTGGGTTAGAAAGCTTTTTTACCCTCCAAATCATTTCAGCACTCAACAACAACTTGCATAGCTATTCAGGTCTTCTGACAGTACTGTCCCATAAGAAACATAACGAGCAAGTTGTTGCTCAGAGTTATGAAGAGCTAATTGATTAATGGCATACAAGATCCATAATTGATAGCAACAGGGTGTGATACAGGTTTTCCTGAACATCAAACAATAACGTTGTACGATATGACCATGTCGAGCCTTTTTATAATCATCTCTTTAATTCCTCAACAATTCACTAATCAGAGCTGGGTAGTACATATGACAAAAATATTAGTTTTACTAAACCATACTTTTTACTTTCATTTTAAAAACATCCTAGTAGACCATCACTAGTCTTGAGTAGCGATGATTTGAGCAAAATATGTGGCTACTAAACATCACCAAATAATGAACAATCTTTAAAAAGAAAATATTCTCCAGACAAATACACAAGGTTATTGTTCATGTCAAAATTTGTGTTTTGGAGGTAAAGCTAATATACAGTAAGCAGTAAATATCGCCACTGAATGTTTTGTTATAATAAGTTCAATTTTAAAAATAGAATTGATGTGAAAAAGTGTTTCTTCTGCCTGGAATCATAACTTTTTAATCATATTATTTGTTTGTCTTATTTATATGTAATATAAGATGTTATGATGAGATTGTGTAGCATTTTTACCACATTCATTTTAACTAGAGTTATTGTTTGGATTGTTACTTTCTATTCCTACTAGAGTAAAAGCATGTTTAAGTAGGGTTACTCTTACTTGAGTATAGATTTGTCTTAACTACCAAATAAACAAGCTTTTACTCTGTGATTATGTTTATGTGAATTGGTTCACCTGCAGCTACAGACCTGAGGAAACTGGGGATGAGGCATCACACCTCAGAATAAAAAATAAGGGTAAAAATTGGTAAAAGGCTGAATTGACCTTGAATGTTTTATTTGTCTCTTTCTGCTACTTACATATGTTGAATTTCATTTAAAAGCAAGTTCCATTTATTAGATCATATACTCAAATATGTATTAAAAATTCTTCTATTTTGACGCCAGAAAAATTACTTATTTTTCTTTTCCTAATTGTAGCCATAACCCAAAGAAGGGGAATCATAAGTTTAACAGGAAAAAGGGCAGTTAGAATCTGAAATCCAGCTTTTGAAGTTCCCTTGCTGAGCTCAAACAATACAGTGAATCTGTTGAATGAAAAAAGGTAAGAGCTCTATGCTAATTAGCCATTCTCCATTATTAGAACAGGAGATAGAATGTGGGAACAAAGTGTCTACCTCCTGCATCAGCACATGAAACTGTCCTCAGAACTGACAGATGCTTCTTATTTCCAGACAGACACGGCGTTGTCAGAAGTCCCCGTTTGAGGCACACTTTGTAGACGTGCAAAGGCACTAATTGCCAAGTCACATTAGCAAGAAAGACAGAAGTCAATTTTCCATCTTTTTGCTGTTTTGTGTCCACACCTATCGGAAGATTGAAGTTCTAAGTCAACAAAAACAAACAAAAAAAAAGAAATGAAAAACTGCTGTATTGTTTGAATCTCCTGTGTATATGATGTTAAGATTTTTTTTCTTCCACAGGAAATAATGGAACACACGTATGATGAGTCTTAAGGGTGCTTTGTTTTTTTATGACTGGAGCCATTTTCAAGATGTAGTTCGTCTTTTAAACCAAGCTAAAAAGTATTGTTTCCATGGGATTTGAAAGAGAGTCATTTTCAAAGCTCTAACACCGTATCCCAATGGGGTAGAAGGACATACAAAGGATTCAGAATCAAAATGCCTTCGCCACCTTGTTTTGCCAACTCAGTCAGCCAAATCTCTAACAACACAGGCTCCCTCCAACATCACAGAAGAGTCAGCGCCGGCTTGCTGCAGGAGGACATCAAGGGTGCAGCTGAGAAACAGAGCGAGGTGAGAGTGTCTTGCCAGATTCAGACTGTCAGGATTTCTTGCTCCGGTGAGCTACCTGCGAGATGAAGGCATTGTGTTGGCACTTCATTTCCTGCCTGTGCAAAATCTTCAGTCAGTGGACGGCAAGCTGCAGACACTTATAACAGACCTGACAGCTCTTCTCGGATCTGAGATGTAAATGCAAATGACATATCAGCCGTGGCTAATATGTAATCACATATGGCACCCAGCAAGATGATCGGGGCTCACGAATAAATTAATTGACTCTACCACCCTGAAGTGACTGAGGCCACGTCAGAGTTTCTGGGCTGACATAACAGCCAGAGTTGTCAGGAAAACACTCTGACTGCCTGATCTCAGCCAATCACCAGCTCCTGGGTCGCTTCAATCAAACACGCAAAATTGCTAATAACGGACGAGGCTGCAGCCAGATAGCCGAGGAGAGATCTGAGCACCTCCTCGTTCAGGCACGGCGGTGACTGAGGATGGGGAGTTGCACACTGAGGAATAATTGGGCCAGGGCTGCTTTAAAGGCGAGAGTCCATTAATAATCAAACAAAGCCAGAGGATATATTTCTGCAACACATGGGAATTGCAGTACAGCAAATAATGCAGACATCTTTAGGGAATTCCATCCCTATCTGTATGTAAAATTGGACCCTTACCTTCTGAACATCAGAAGGCACCCTCTGGAGGAAATCCAGTATTTCATTACTGTCAATACTATATGGGTTGCGCAGTTTCTTGGTAAATTTGTTAATGCCTGTGAAAATAAGCACAGATAAACACATTCATAAATAAAAGCTGTCATAAAAAGCTGTATTTTTTAACAGAACAGTATTGTCTACTAGAGTTGTAACCATTGCACCATAGGAGACTAAGCTTTTTCCATCGTTAGATTTATTCCAAATAAATAAAAAAAAGCAAACACGAGAGGTATTGATTTGATAAGATTTCATTTGAACAAAACTCAAGAAACTTTTCTTACTTTTTTTTTCTTAAATCTGTCAGTTTCTTGTATATCTATATTTTTTTTACAGATTGCAACTGAAAGAAAAATATATCTCCAGGGCTTTATTGTCGGACCATTATATTCATAGTTCAATTCAAGAAGCACCATAGCATGCAGACAAAGAAACTAGAGTCTTAAATATGAGCAAGGAACTTAAAAGAACTGTCTTGCAAACACAGAGATGAGGGTTAACTGGGGAGGCAGAGGAGTGTCTCAGATTGTGAGTTTTTATGTTTGATATTTATATATATATATTTTTTTTTTTTGGTATTGATTGTGTTGAAGGCGATGTGGAAGTACAGTGGCTGTACAGCTGGAGGAGGAGAGCCTGGTGAGGGCAGCATTACTGCCTGACCACTAAGACAATACTGTGCTGCTGTATGACTACAGCAGATAATGAGAGGCTAGACCAGGAGCCTACAGACTGCCCAAGGACATCATGCATTATATACGGCTTGCTCTTCTCTGCCTTGGCTTTGTTTTCACACAAACCCTTGGTCATGCCTCTGCTGGGCTCTGCTACATCAGCCCACACTAGGAAGAGTGAAACTCTACAACCGTCTGATCTCTGTGCATCTGCAGAGGTGTAGATATAGCAAAGTTCCTAAATTACAGAACTTTATTAAATCAGACATTCCCAGTTGGAAAAAGAAAAGTTAAGTTGGGTTAATTTTTTAATCTGTTTTATTAGGATGCAATGATTACTCTGTTAAACAATGTTTCTATTCCAATATATTAAATGTGTATTACATTCTGTTATCCATTAATAATAACAATAAAAAAAAAAAATTTAAAAAAACTTACCCCATACTAACACAATGTACCGTAATGGGATTAAATACAATAGTGAGGCTGCCACAAACAGCATCAGGCAGGCCAAGCATGACAAGAATGGCACAGACCAGTTGAATATGCTGCAAAAGACAAATACAAGATAAGGTGATGAAATTAAAAACCAAATCTAATCAGAAACTATTAACCTGCATGGAAATAATTTAGAATATCATCAAAAAACTTTTACATGATAAGTAATTTAAATTACAGCTAAACTCAGATTTAGAGTAGTTCTTATATGGCATACTTATTTTCAAAAAAGATATTTGTAAATTAGAGCTACTAAAAACCCGAAAGTCGTGACATCAGAAAATTAAGATTGAACATAAGACCAAAACAAGAATTACTACTACTGAAAGGGATGGGACGGTACAGGGGAGTATGTGTCCTTAATGCTTGTTCTGGGCTCCTTTTGCTTTAATCAGTGCATCAGTTTTGTCTGGTATGGAGGTGATCAGCCTGTGGCTCTACCTAAATGTCCACAAAACCAATATTGCCCTTAGAGTGACCTTAAGCTAGTTTTAATTGTTTGGTCTGGGATACATCTTATCTTCCTCAAACAGCACTTCATAGAATGTCAATGAGGCTGCCAATCAAGCAGAGTGAAACCTGGATCACTAATGCAGGTAGTATTACTTTTGGCAGAGTAGATGGGAGTGAAGGCCTTCTGAAAAGGGATCCAGAGGAGTCCAAGTACTTTCATAAAGCTTCTGTGCAAATTGAATCAAATTTCTCTTAAAATGTCCAGTGACTCTGGAGGTTATAAGACTCAGAGGACCATCAACGGTCTTCAAAATCATCAGATTTGGAAACTTCACGCAGAACCTGAAGGAGCTTAGAGTCCCCTCTTCATTGCTCTCCTTCAGACTTTGAGACCTTGATTTCTAAATAAAATGCATAAACATACTTTTATAAAGAAAGAAGACTTTGCTCCACTTAGCAAAAGTCTGGCCCCCTTTCTCTTTAGCTGAGGTAAGATTTTTCTGACAATACCTTTGGGCCAGAAGTCCCTTAACACTAAGAATGTGGTAGCTGTAACCCATGTTTTGGATATATCAATTGTGGGGCATGGATCGTAGACCTTCTTTTTAACTCAACATCCAATTGTGAGAAAAAGCAGCTTGTTCAGTTTTTTTTTTTTTTTTGGCTAAAGCTCCTTGGAAAGGGTGTCAAAGACCATCGGCTGGACTAATGGCAAATCAGTACTCCTCCATAAGATTATGAAGCTCATAACTTTTCAGTACTTTTTTTTTTATTGGTGTTATTTAATTACTAAATGTTGTAATGAGTCCCTAATCACCAGGATTAATTGAAAAAAAGTTTAGATTTAATTTTAAATATTTAAACATGAGTGTTTAAATGAGTTTCACATTTGAAAAAAAATATACTGAAATAGTTCAACTTAATGTACTAAATTAACACTGAAAAATTAAAGAAATAGCGTAAGTAGTCATTACTTCTTGACTCGCTCCCCGATGTTGGCGATTTCCTCCAAAACATTCTGGACAACCAGCACCACTTCCTGGACCATATGTATTTTATCCATCAAACCCTTTTTGCCAGATTCCTGAAAAATAACAGACAAAAAAAAAATGCACAGACACTGATGAGGTGCACTGCATGTCAAATGTTGGGCAGAGTAGACAAAGACCAGTTTACTCCTGCCTTGCTATCATGTGTAATTTATCTATTGAATAGCCCATAATGAGCAAACACTATACATCTTCAGACTATGCTTTTGAAGATGAGGCAGATTCGGCTCTCAGAAGCTGTTATCCAGGATGGGCTGAAAGATTTCAGCTTTTGTGAGCTGCGCACAATGAAGCTGTTGCACAAGTGCAGCACAATCAAGACGCGCAGATAAGATGAAAAGTACACAAAATGGCCATCTGCAATCAGGCAGACTAGACAACCAAAAGAAGAAGTGCAGGGGCCTCACAACTTGGGAGAGTTTTTATTCTAGCAGTATGCACAGAGGTAAGCTGGAACATGTTTTTACAAATATGTCAGTTCTGTCTTTCTAACCTAAGCCAACATTCTCCAAGCGTGAGAAAAACACTTCAGTCTGCTTTGTAAACCAGTTGGATATAGAGTCCTTTGCCTTTTTTAAGGGTGATTCATGCACATGAGCATATTTTTTTTTCTGAAAAAGCACTGATAAAATAAACATTTTCAACCAGTAATTTGTTTCCTTAGATAGCCTGAGTGTCTATGTCCAGATGTAATATATGCGATCACATTGAGCTGGGAAATAACAACAGCTATGAAGCCTTCCAGGGCAGGGGAGTGCAAGATAACACGAGGAATACAAGCTAAAGAGAGCTGAGAAGCCTCAGATCAAAAGGAGGAAATAATGACAAGAATGATGACAGGGAGAAGAGTGGGAGAGGAAGAGTGAGAAGGAGAGGGGAGGGATAAGAGTGCTGGGGAGGACGCTCTAATGGACCCTAACAGGAGGCCTGAGGATGTCTATATGTTTGTGTAACAAGTCAGCTGAAGCCGCAGCCTGTGTGCACTGACAGGGCCCAGACAGAATGCCTTTATCAGAGCTCCACGAGGCAGCCCCTGGGAACACACTGTCTGCCAGCACTGAGAGACTCCCCACTGCTGGTCCTACTCTCCTCCCTGAACGGTGCAGGAAGAGAGCAATTCCCACACTAGTGGAACCTCCCCCGCTGGGCTCTGATCTGGACAGACACTGAAGCCTCAGCACTGTCCAAAAAAGGAAAAGAACCTCACAAATATGTTTTCTACCAGATTAATATCTCCTATCTCGTGTTAAAAGAAGATCACGTATCAGCATCATATTACACTGTTCCCACTGCATCAAGCAGTAAACTATCCCACCTCAAATGTTAACTGAACTCTTCTGCAATGCTTCAATGGTCGTTACAATCTGCAGCTTCTGATGGAGCCAGAACATATTTGTGACTCATGTCTGATTTACGGATATAAGGCTTACAGTAAGTGCAATGTAATTTGCCTTATGTGAAAAGGAAATGACTATGGTCCTACTTGAAATATACCAAAACCCAGAGCAACATATGGAGGACCAGAAATACAGAGACAAAAATGTTACTGTAGAAAGGAGGACATTAAATAATGGACAAAACATCCCTACAGAAAGGTGGTTGTGCTTGCATTTTAGTACATAAAGATTTTTCTTCATAAGCAAGAACAGGGTTTCAGATTTAATGCTGATAAATGGATGGAAGTACATTTGGAAAAAAAAAAGATAAAAAGCTTCAAAAGCAAAGATCGGGGCAACATGAAGACCCAGAGACCCAAAACATGCAGGTACAGGCCTACAATGGATTGGTGTAGATCACAACATATTTGCATCTTAGAATGACCCAGTGAAAGTAAAGACCCAAGTCATTCTAGACTTTTTAATGAGACTTGAAAAATTATATTTTCAGATCCTGTCTGTCCCATATTACTGAAATCAAGCTATTTACGGAAAAAAATAGAGCCAATCCTATGGGGCAAATCAGTGAGGACTCTTACAGCAAAGCAGAATTGTGCTAGTAGTTACCATAAGTGGTGTCCGAATAATGCTGAAAGTTAATGAAGGAGGTAGGAAGAGGAAGAATAATGCTTCCTTTTGATAGTTAATTTCTCATAAGGACCTCCAGACATTCATATCTTCTGCAGAGAAGCTACACAGTTGCTCACAATCCATTGTTTCACAGGATGTAAAGGGAAAGTATTTTACTTTTCTCTTTGACGTCACAATTATGCTCAACATCGTGTTTGTTTAACAGAATTACATCTGTGCAGGTTAGAGGTTGTATCATTTAAAAAAATTAGAAAAGTTCAAGTGGGATAAATACTTTTACAAGGCAATACAACCTTGGCAAAAAAATTAGACTATCCTCTAATTTGAAAAACAAAAAATAACTTTCAAACATCCACTCCAGAGAACCTGCTTTATGATTCTCCAAATCCAAGCTTTAGCTATCAAAAACTAAGATACCTTTTACATTATTCATTAGATGAGATTCTTTGTTCCTTTTTTGAGTCATGTACCCATGTGTAGAACAAATTAAATATCTCCATCTTAAACCTTAAAGATGGGTAAAATGGGGATGGACTAAATGATTGTAAATTTTCCCCTGATTAAAGAGCCTGCGCGGAATCACATTTTCATTTCAGATAAATTGTAAAAGCTTTCTTTTAAGGTGCAGTAATGGAGAACCAATTTGATCTCCTGCAGAAAGGTAAACACAGTCCCGCAGACATGTGTGCCGTTATCAAACGTCGGAAATAAAAGCTCATTTAGCATAATTTTAATTAGAATGAACCATGCCAAATTTGAATTCTCAGACTGAATATTTATCTTGCGACTCTTTCAGGTGAAAATATGAGTTTGTCAAAATGAAAAACACCTGTGTTTTGAGCAATTTATCTCCTGGAGCTAAAGTAAACTAAAGCAGTTATGCTGCAGTGAGGATTTAAGGTGGTGCTGCTCCCAGGATACACACAACAGATCATGGGTAGCATGTCTAACTGGTGTTTTCAAGAAACCAGGCAGTAAGTGTAGGGTACTGGTTGAAAGATTCAGCAACTCCAAAGCCCAGATTGGCAACCCCCAACTACAATCCCAGCCCTTATCCACCCCCTTAACTCCCACTGGCAAAGCTCTGAGAGGAACTCAATGTCGGACCGGCAGCACCAGCAGCCGGAGGGCAACAAAAAGGGGCCGTTTCATCTTCCCCGCTAATATTAGCAAGAGATCTTAGGACTTGCTTTGCCTCTGTGTCTTTATGTTATGATTACATATCATCTATCTGCTCAATTGATACCCGAGGCCAAAGGGAAGTCACTTTGCCCACACATAATCTGTAAGCTGTCTCCTTCCCTGAGGACAGATTTGTTCACAGGCAGAAAATCTGCTCCGCATTACTCTGCCGTAACACTGACTTTGCTTTCGTCTCTCTTTAACGTCATGCCTTCACATGCTTCCTGCTCCAGCTGAGGTTTACATATTTCCCTCCTCAAGGGTGGTGGGGGTAGAAACACATACGAGTTGTAATCATAACTTTTTTCAGGGGGAGAAGCCTTTATTCATATGCTGAAGGAGAAACTGGGAAGGGAGCGCAAGGCTTTGAATACATCAAATTTAACGCTGATCACTCTTTAACCCCAAATATTTTTTAAGAAGGCTTTGAAAGGCCTTGTAAAGCTACACCGTTTGATCAGGCCGAATGATATCGCATTCAAGTGACAGCAAGACCATAACAAGAATTTCAAATAAGCCACTTTAAATTAAAGCTGACAGCTTAAAACAAACATGGGTGAGTGCTTAATTAGTAAATGAAAGGACATATTTCATTCCCAGCAAGTGTGAAAGGGCTTTGGAGGCTCATGGGAAAGCTTTTAAAAAGCTTTAAGAGGAGAGAGTTGAGTTTGCAAACATGTGGCATGGAGAGACCCATGAAGCAAAGACCCTGCCATTTCTTCCGTGTAAAAGAAAAATCCTTTCATATAAACTGAAGTTTCAAGGTATGTCAAAGCGAGATAATTTAGTGCATCAAGATAATCCTTTCCTATTAAGCATGCATAAACCCAGTACTTTTTTGTCCCTGCTGTTTGTTAAAACACTGATTTCTCCTTTTGCAGATAGAAAGTGTGGCTTTACACCACACTGACATATCATGCAAGTTTCATCTGCGAATTAGCTCATCCCTTTCAGACAGGATTTGGTGGACGTGCCTTTGAAAAAACAGGAAAAGGGAATCTAGCTCTTCTGTTGCCTCTGGTCATCTGCAGCAGAATATATTGAGCGCATTATGGATATGAATCCCGGGCCTAGACATGCAGCACAAGGGGTCAATGCTCGAAGGCTCCCAGTTAGTTTCACACTTCATTGCCATAAAACAATAATGCGAATCCCTGTAAACTTATTTTAGTTTCTTTAGCAAAAAGAATTGGATGAGTATAATTGAATGTGGTGTGCTGTGGGAAGTATAATTTTCAGACTACTTAAACATTTCCTTTTTCTTTGTCAAGAGACACTGGAGTTGAAGTTAAAAAAAAAAAAAAAAAAAAGAGAGGCAAATTATTAAGTCACTATTGGGTCCCCATTTTTGTTTTGACACCCCGATATAACTTGATAGAAAAAGTTGTTTAAACTGCCTTAAAAAGGTATTAATAACCCTTTGGACATTTTTGTTAAGCTACAACCACATGTTTTTCATTGGGCTTTTCACATTCTGCTGCTCAAAACACTGCAAATCTTTTTTAGGATGTCTCAAAAAGATTTGTCTATATGTATGTTTATATGTGTGTCTGCATACATATAGACTGAAACCTTTGAAATTTCCTCCTTAACAAAAACACTGAGGCTCAATCAGCTTGAATGAGTGGTGGGCACCAATTTTCAATTTTTGCTTTTATTGAATTTATATCTAGACTTTTACTGGACCACATGCAAAGGCTTCTATTTAGACCAAGCCCTTGTACTGAAGATCTGGAAATACAGTATGAGGTTGATCTCCGCCTAGAAGGGGAAATTTTTGCACCAATCTTTTGACCTTTACAGCATTTCTTAGGTTTTCTTTTGTCCTCTATCTAGCTTTATTCATCTTATCAGCTCTGCTGAGCTCTCTTATTGGTGTTTAAAAATTTCCACATATCATGATGCACCAAAAATGCTTCTTATAAACGAAATTATCAAAATTAAAACCTGAAACTGAGAAAACATTCTTGTTACCTGAAAGAAATAAAAACAGTAACATAAAGGAAAAACTAAAACAGACCGACATTTTACTATAGGTTTATAAAACTAGCTCAGCTGTACTATAATAATATAAACCTTTTTTTTTTGTGTGTATCAATGGATCTCTAAGCCTTGCTAAATTATTTGAAGTGTCTTAACTTAATACAAAACTAAACTGAAACAAAATATTAAAGGTATGGTGAAGGACAAATTTTTGAAAAGACCCGCCTTCTCCACCTGTAATCGCTGCCAAGAGGGAACGCCTATTAAACACGTGCAACAGCATGCACAAGACCATTTCTCCTAGTGCACGCTCTGTTTACAAGTTGCTGTTTGCATCGCTCAAACAAGCTTACTTCACAAAAGAAGATTTGCAATCCCTTCACCATGTCAGATTCACCACCGGTAAGTGAAAATGGGGTGAGCACTTAGGAAGCCCTTAAGTAAACATATCACCAGAATGACTGAAAATAAGGATGACCACTTATTTTATACCACCCGGAAAAAGAGCATCCTCCACTATACCTTTAAATAATAGCAACTGACAATAAATAAACCCCTCCACAAACTATTTAAATCTAAATCAGAGTTAAAAAAATCTTGCAAAATAAAACTTAACTATAGTGAAAAGTCCAGAAGTATAATAACTTTACTCCCGACACAAAAGATTACTGTCATGGTGGGGTGACCAGTGAGACATACAGTTTTAATACATCTTTTCCAGTCTTACGGTCTCCCCTACAAAATATGCTGCTCAATGCAAGCAGGAATTCTAATGCCGTTATTCTCCAACAGCTTTTTCTTTTCCTCTATGCCCACAGAGGCCAGATTTTTTAAGGGCATGCTTAAAAGTTTTCTTGTATTCTTAAATCCGACTTAGCATCAATACAAGCATACCCTAGCTGTGTGTTTGCTTTAGCCCTTGATTTGTAGAAATAAAATTAAAAAATATACAAAATAAAAATACATATACATATATGTGTTGTATTTTCCTACAGTGGTGTATATAAGATTGTTCATAGAATTTATACATTCTTTTTACGGAAGAAATAAACAGGTAATAAAATTAAATCAAATACATTTGAATATTTTAGCGCTAGATAGGATAAGCTACCTTTTCGTCTTCCTCTTCGTCGTCACCCATGGCCATGTTCACCTATGAGAAAATAAAGGGTATGGGGTGATTTCCAACGAATGAGACATGTGGGCACTGGAGCATTTTTAACAAACACCTAGTAATGAAATTTTCTTTGAGCACATTCACCCCTATTGGGAGAGGCTTGTTTCCATAGAGACTGCATCACAGGGGTGACCTCACACAAAAGGAGAGGTGAAGAAGGGCCTTCCTCGCAAGAGCACTGTCACACCAAAAGCAATCTCTTTTCTCCACAACATAGGCACACAGAAAAACAGAAAGACAAAAAAGAAAGAGGAAGGAAGAAATAAAAGAACACATTTAATTTGGATGTTGTTGCCTAGATAACTTTATATCAAGTCATCCCTGACCCTGCTGTGGTGCACATTGTGACATTGCCCGGGTGCAGAGCATTGACATTGCTGGCCGTAGGGTCTCAGTGGGTTGACAAAATCTTACGCTGGATATGAGGGTGAGTCTGTGGACATTGCCGAGAGACAGCATCTCAGCCAGCAGCCTTGAACACAGTGACTGGGCTATGAGTTTGACTTTGGGGAGGATGTGGGAGTGGGCCTGAACTATGTCTGGTGAGTGATAAGGTTTATAACTTTGCAAAATTGGGGGCCAATCAGAAGCGTGAATAGCATCAAACTTAAAAGGAAAGAGTACAGAAAGCAGCATTTCCAAAAAAGTAGAGGCAGAATATTCAAAGCTGAAGCAAAAATGTTCCACGTAAGGGCAAACGTTAAGATTTACAAACATCACCATACATCACACTAGTAATTCTTGTTGTTTTTGCACACTACCATTTAGAACCAATGCAAAAAGGCTTATAGAAGCAGAGCAGCCATGCCTTTTTTAAGGAAAAGATGGACCCTATATTTTAAATGAGAATTAGTGTCTTATCCAGCATGGTACACATTAATATCCCTTTTCCTTAAGTTTCCTACATATATTTGAAATTCACTGACTCTAAACCAGAATAAGTGTTTTTTGTACTCTAAAACTTACCAAAGATCACCTCTGCATGATTACATTGAGTTTTGTTGCACTATTTGCACTGACTCCTATCCAAACTAAAGGGTCTACTTTCTCTAATTAACTTAGGCAGGTATGGCAAGTTCGCACAAAGAAACAATGTGGTGATGAACCCAGCTAATCCAAAGCTTAGGTTAAAGTTTACCATTTATAGATTTCCTCTCCTTTTTCTTTCCGTACAAACATCTGAAATCATTAAACCACTACAAAGACACTGAGTAAATAACATCCAGTTTTCAGATATTAAGTAATATCCTGAAAGAGGAGCTAGAAAAGATGTGGAAAGTAAGAGCAGCAGTGGTGCCAGTGGTAATTGGAGCACTGGGGGCTGTGACCCCAAAACTGAGAGAGTGGCAACAGCAGATTCCAGGTAAAACATCAGAGGTCTCTGTCCAAAAGAGTTTAGTCCTAGGAACAGCTAAGATACTGTGCAGAACCCTCAAACTCCCAGGCCTCTGGTAGAGGACCCGAGCTTGAGGAAGACACATACCACCTTAAGAGTGGTGAGAAAATAGTTTATATATATATATATATATATATATATATATATATATATATATATATATATATATATATATATATATATATATATATATATACATACATACATACACATTTCAACATGCAAAAAGAAGTAGCAGAAATTACAAATATAAATAAATATAAATGGAGGCATTCTATTCTTTTGGCATTAAATTAAGTCTAATACACAATATTAAAAAAAAATTCTCTGTGGTATAACAACCTGGCCAAGCTAAGCTAGACTATGCCAATCGCAACTTGCCCTCATCCTGACCACCTCCCCCTTTAACCCCATCACTCAGTAATGCCCCCTTACAGGTTTCTTGGCACCCACTGCTTTGGTGACTTTTTTCAAAAATTTGTTTTGAGTTGGGGTTATTTAATTTCCGTTTTGGGATTATTTAATTTATTTTTGAATTGAATTGGTTATGTTTCTACATGGGTTGAGTTACACTTTAAGAAAATCCAAGGCTGCAAAATGTATGCTAATGTTAATGAACTGCTTTTATAAATTAAACCATTTACCATTGTTTCTTGTAATATTCCTTTGCAGTAGAAGGCCAATTTATTACATCAATGTCTGAGTCACACAGACAAATGAGTCCTTGTAATTGTATTGACAGATTATTTACCAGTACTAAATCCATTGATATGTTTTACATAGTATAAAGGATACTATTTAGATTGTGAGTAGTAATTGTGATAACTATCAGAACAACAAAGCTGGTTAGGAGCACAGATTGTAACTAAAAATCCTGCTGGAATGATGTAGTTTTGGATAAACGTTGTTCTCATACTGTAAGCCGTCAATCCCTAATGTATCATTTTATTTCCCTTAAGGCTGGTTCATATGGCAAGATTTTAAAACTGTCGGTAAATTATTTAAAACTTATAAGAACAGACATATGTGGGCTAGAACGGCTATGTACACAGAGTGTGTTTTCAGCAGTCACCTAAAGCACAGGACACCATACACCACCAATTTCCCCAAGACCTTTTGGCTGCCACACAGGAAATCGAGCAAAACCTCACATGATCAAACACGAGTTTGGACTAAACAAAGATGGTGGACAAAGCAAACACTGGTTTTTGTGCTTGGGCTAATTTAATCTGAGAAAAAAACAGAATAAAAAGAAAAGAAATTGGGTCTAAACATGCTAAACTATAATTTGGAGGTATGTTGTCTTTATTTGACCCTAGAAAACAATAATACACACTTTTGTACAGGTGTAGTTTCTCTTTGCTATTTACAGTTGAAACTAACAAATGTTATTTCTTTACATAAATGCATGTATGAGATTTTAAGTTTGGACTGTTTTAGCAACTAAATTGTGTATTCAGGACAAAACAAAGCAGAACTGCTCGCTGGGACTGCTCGAAATGTAGAGTCTAGAATCCATCCTAAACAGCTAAGGATGGATCACTGAACACACCACAGGATTATCTCACTGATAATTAGGGTCAAGATCAGGGCAGAAATTGGCACTATTATCTCGCAGAGTGACATCCCTTTACCTTCTGAAGATGGATTCAGGCTCTGTTCTTTTCTATTCTATTTTACAGATGGACAGGGCTCAACCTTAAAAATCCCAATCCTTTAGTAATGGATTTTTTCAATATTCCCTCATAAATTGTGAGGAAACTAAAAACTGAATCACAATTAGTACATTTTTGTTTTACAGTAAAAGGCATGTACTTATATAGCGCCTTTATTCAAGTCAGGAGACTTGACCAGAGTGCTTTACACTACATCCATTCACCTATTCACGCACACACTCACACACTGATGGTGGCAAGCTACATTGTAGCCACAGCTGCCCTGGGGCTTACTGACAGAAGCGGGGCTGCCGTACATTGGCGCCACCGGGCCCTCTGACCACCATCAGTAGACAATGCAGGTGAAGTGTCTTGCCCAAGGACACAGTGAAATACTAACTTTATCCTCATTGTTTTGATAACCATTCGTTTGTCTTGAATGTACAACTGTAAATTCAGATAGAACTGGAGAATCCATGTACTTGTTTGATTCTGAATGATATATGGAGTTGTATTAGCAGGTGACTACTGTTTATGGATACGTACTGAAGACTCGTCATTACTCACCAGATCCTGGTTGGAGCTGGCCTTTTCCCTGGAGAGCTGGATGTAGTTCCAGCCGATGAGCAGCAGCAGGAAGAGAGGCAGCATGAAAAGCTCCCAGTGCCATACTGTAACCAGGAAAATCTAAAGAGACAGGACATGACAGTTTTCAAGCAAAGCACAAGAGGCTGTACGTCCCTCAACAAGCTTTCAACAAAACCTGTTCCCTTAGCAAAATATGTAACAGTCTTAACCACGTCCCAAATCCCATGAAGAGCCCTCTAAAGCCTCTGAAATGCATCCCCAATGACAACAGATTTTACTCCTGGTTGTTGGTGAGTGAGAGGAATTCAACTTTTTAATATCTTGAAATCCTATTTGCAGTGACATTCTACTGGCAGCTTGCCTGTCTGCTGGAAAGAAAGTACGACATGAATAGGCATGATGGTGTCCTTTTAACTTTCCGATCAAATCCTCTTAGATTCAGAGGCAGTGATACTCTGACGAAGCACATATGGCAACTGGGGAAGCATGTGCAACGTTTACCCCCTCTGTGGCAATGATACTGAGAAAAGTCATGACCCCTGGTAGAAATAAGATGGCTCACGCTGAATGAGTAATCCTTTATAATTCTGTAAAAGGAGTGGTGCTAAGCACATCGCACAACACCCACAGCATCTCACAGCGGCGCGCTAATTGGATGGCTGCATTTAAACCCATTTACTGACAGCCTAATGAGTCTGTCTCTAACTGAAACGATCGAGAATGTGTGAGGGGGGGAAATCACACAAGCAGGTTGATGGGGATGAACTAAAATTGTCCCCCACAGAAAGATAAATTTTAAAATCTATTACAGTCTAAAGAAGTGCAAACACCTCTAAGATATGGTCAGCTTTTATTTACCAGAGAGACATTTTCCCTTAGAACTTCTTATGTAATTATCAATACAATATAATCATTGCACCATTGGAACGGATACTCATTAAACTTTCCAGAGTAAGGAAAATGAAGAATTTTCGATTACTTTGAATATTAACCTCACTAGATAAAGCAGTGAATAGCACTTCCAAATTCAAGTCGATTTTGCAATAACATGATTTTGGTGATGGAGAAGTAAAAAAAATTATAATCTAGCTCACAACATGAGAAACTTCAAGAGAAAGTAAAAGAAATATATCAATCTAAAAGGTGTGAATTGCTATACTTTATGCCTCACAAATTGTGTTTCAAAGGACCTGTTTTCTGAATAGAATTCAGTCCAGGTGGGATTTCTGTAAGTATTACAATTTTAAAGGAAGAACCCATCTAAGCAGCTGCTTAAGACAAAAGGGAATCCAGCTATCTAAACTCTCTTCCAGATAAAAGGTTTCACCCTTCTCAAAGAGAGTAAAAAAAAAAAAAAGTTCAGTAAAGAATTTCGGAAGCAAATATGGAATAACCTTTTCCTATAAAAATGTGAAAAGTAAAAACTAGGAAAAAGCACCCAGATTTATCCCTGTAGTTGTTCACCAACTTTAGTATTTTTTTTTCAAAAAGCAAGAGCAGAGGTCTATAAATCAGATGATGCATCAAAATGTTGGCTGCAGCTTTATCAGCGTGTCACAAAGTGCCAAAATGTTCCCTGAAAGTACTTACAAATAATTCAGCTCTCATCAATCACTTATTGATCTCAGACGTTATTTTTTCCACATGGGGTATTCAAAGGATTGTCAAACAACTGAAAAACTTGTATCTTTCATATGTCAGTAAAAGTCTGCAGTGTATTTCTAATTTTAATCCAGTATGAACCTTTGCAATAATCTTATTAAGGTTTACGGTAGTTCATAATTCAAAGTAATGTTTTTTTTATTATTATTATTATTATTCAATCTACAAATAATTATGTCTGATTTAGGATCCTGGTGAATTTGCTGTTGTAATTTTGGGGAAGCAAAATGTTTCAATAATGTTTTTGTTTTATTTGCATTCAAAAATCTTAAGAAACTGGAACTAATGAAATCAACTTATTAGAAGTTTTGTTAAAAAAAAAAAAAAAAAAAAAAAAAAAAAAAAAAGGCCAAACAACAGAGCTGTGCTAGATGCATCCAAACAGTGACCATATTTATAACCAGGACTGAACTGTCAGACGGAGCAAACTCTGTGCAGTTCGGGCTCAAAGAGCTTGAGGGTTGATGGTAGAAAGAATATGTTTCAGTTAAGCTTCAGACAAGACGAGAAGATCTGAGGCCTTTGGGCTTCAGCAGGCCTCTAAACGGCAGACTGCTCCTGTCATAGCAGCAACGCAGAGTCCGTGTATTTTGCTCTGGGGGCCACTCTACCTACTGCAAGACCAAGCTTAGGTTCAATCAGCCACTAGGGAAATGGTAGTATGAGTAATACAGACAACACCGTGGCCCACTGCCCTGGGCTTTACCATTGTACTGTTTATTTTCCTGTGAAATGATTGGTGATCCCACCATCAGGCAGAAACACAGTGGGATTACCACTAAGCAACAAAGTGGACAGTAGGAACAATATGTTTTAGCTAATAGGAGCTCATTTAAATTATGTATACAGCAAATAACAAGAGCTTGCGAGGGACAAAGAAGGTAAACCATGAATATGCATGATGTGCAGAGATAGCTGCACTACATCCCCTGTGTGTTATGAATAACTTAAGTCATATGTTGTCACCTCAGTTCCCATGAGGCAATTCTAAAACGACTCTAGCCTCACCCCAGAGAAATGCTGGTGGGTCTTGGACAGGTAGCTTGTCATATTCCCAGCATTTTTATACAAAAAAGCGAAAAGAAAAAGTGGGGAAGACTGCCTGGAAACTGACATGAGCCCAGCAGGAACGCTAAACCTTTTTGCCCTTCCCGCAAAAGCTACTACATTAACCACTAAAGTCTAATTGCTTGGTCTCTGTCTTCCTGTTCAAGTCAACAGAGGGAGCCTATTCATTTCTGCCCAGGGAGCCAGCAGAGAGAATCTGTCACAGGTATTCATAATCGCCCACTAATGCAAATTTCTTCTAACCGTGTTCTGGCTCAGTGGAGAAGATAAAAGCCTGCAGAAATACAATGCTTTGTGTCTAAACTGAGAGCCTAAATGAAGGGAATAGACAAAAACTGTCAAAAATATATTCTTCCTCCCTCACAGTGTGTTAGAGGGATATGGTTAGGATTCACTGTACATGCTTTTTTTTTTTTTTTAACAAACAGAAACAACTGGGAAAACCTTTAAATTTTATTTCAGTCAGGTGCAAAGACCGAGACTCTGTGTCAGACATCCTGGAGTAATGAGGAGAGGCAGGCCTATGCTGTCGACTTGTCTCCTTATATTCTACATTGTTTCCGTAAAATAGAGACATAGCTAATTCCTCTGAAAAAAGGTTTGTGTTAGAGTAAAACATTGCTTGGTGATTAAAGGACATGTTGGACCAACTAGAGCCTTAAAAAGGAAATTTGTATTTGAAAAAAGACAAACAAGGGTATTGTTTTCCTGGGTTAAAAAGTGCTTTTTTTTTTCCTTTTTTTTTTTTTTTTTTTGAAAAAAACTACGTTGCAAAGGTAAAATCTTGAGCAGCTTTAACAGCATATGCCTATCTGATCATTAAAGAGGTGACTAAAATGTGAAGTTATTAATAATTTTTATTGTTATTACATTATGTTGAATAATGTTATACCTATTTATTACAAATACGTATGGTGGGAAAAGGTGCACAGCCAACAGGCATAATCGCAGCCTTGAGAGGATCATGGAACAAGGATCCTCCAATAGTTGTAAGTTGTACAGGACGTGAACTGCAGCTAGAGCCAGTGCGTCAAAGAAATTAATCCAGGACACTGTGTATAACTGTTGCGTTCCTTGTATAAAGCCAGGAGGGGAGAGCCCTATCCAGTCCCTTTCGAAAAAAGGAACTGAATAGTTGCTCAGTGCCATATTCTTAAATCTTCCTTTTAGATTAAAAGATATTTTGCATGTCTGTTTGAAATTCAAGATCAAGAGTCTGAAGAAAAGTTTAAAGGTTGTTAATATAAACTGTTTTAAGTTGTGTGTGGTTTCCACTCATATGTGATGATTTCACGATCAATGTCATTTGCTGGTACGGGTAGAATTGTTATATAAACTGCAAAAATGATACCAAACTTATGAGTCTGGTTTGCCAACTGCCAACAATGCATAAAGTACCGATAGCTGCTTTAGTTTCCATAGTATCACTGTTTGACTGACCTGACCAAAGATCAAAAGAAAATCTCTGAGTTATTGACAGAAGGGACACCAAACCCATTCTGAATAATCTAAAATTTGCCATCAGCGCATCTGGGTATTGTTAAGACTTAAGCAGACACACAGGCTGATCCCCTCTATGCCATGATGCATTGATGCAGGTATATATAGACATGCTTCTAAGCAGGCTGACATCTCAGTATTGAACATCATTTTGCCAAATGGGTGTTATATTATTTATTTCTCTGGGAAACTGCATAAGCTTTCTATAGCTGTAAGTCATCATCATCAAAATGACAGGAAAAGGAATGCACAATATATTATATATATATATATATATATATATATATATATATATATATATATATATATATATATATATATATATATATTGCTAAGATATATATATTACATTATTTAATAGTATATGAGTTTCTATCCTTAAATTAAAATACTGCACATGTAAAGCAACAAAAGCTGTAAGAAATAATGATGCATTCAGGTATTTTGGTTTACACAACAAATTAGCTAACAAGCACTTGTAATTGAAGTGTTGGTATGTGAGTATTGAAGGAGTGTTTCTAATGTAGAAAAACCTCCCTTGGCAAACACAATTTAGCTGAAAAATGTCTGTATGATTATGCAAAGGGTACCTAAGGGGTAAGAAAAAAAAAAGAAGAATGAATTAATAAAACTATTAACACACGGTGGAGGAGATGATGGAGATGCACTCTCCTTAGCCACCTGTAAGCGCTCGGAAAAAGGGACTGACCCCGGGCAGAGCGTCTCTGCCAGGAGGGGTTAAGAACGGCCTGACAGGTTTGTTTTATGGCGCCATTAATATGATTCCACTAAATGCGTTCTGCGCCTTCTCAAGCGGCTCCCCTGGCCAGCAGAATCCAGCACCTAATAATAAAGCACTCAGCGATTAA